TCATGTGACATTATTTGAAAAGGGACAGAAGTTTCATCCGGTGTCCTGGCCAACAAATAGAATTGGTCATTCACGTAATGACTGTTTATGGGACATTGCTCTGTGCAAAATGGCTGCCTTGTTTGTCAACAAATACACAGGCAATAACTTTACAGTAAAGCCTGTGAAGCTTTTGTAACATCCTCCCGAATGAAAGGCACACAAGGATTATTGTTATAATAAATATTCATGAGGACATTGTAATGCATAATAAAAGCAACAGGCATCTGCAACAACCGCTAGTTTATGGGGATATTGGCAGAGTCTGGGGAACACCCGCTTGTGGAGGTTATCCTGGGGACTACTTACATTTTTCACATACACTAAAAGCCTGGCTAGCTGGACTAATGGGGATGGGAGGAGAGATCCGGTCCAGCAAGCAGAAATTTTTGTCAGACATCCAAGCTAAAATACAACTGCATTATAATAAAAATAAAATATTTGCATGTGGCAAAACACAAAAATTTGTAGAAAGCCAATGAGTACATAATTGTAGTATTCATGAGCAGGACTCACACAAATTGAATATGCTTTGAAACCAGATTGAACTCCTGATACGCCTATATAGGGATAGCACAACATGCAGGGCAGGGCATATAGAACGATGACACTGCAAGACAAAGTGTAGACTCCTAATGGAGACCAAACAGTGAGTAAAACTGTGCTTTACCATATGAATCCTACTTTCAACAACAAGTTGGATTTATATAGGGCCTTCTACGCTGGACGGCATCTCAGAGCGCTTCACAGTAACAGATCCCGGAGCCGAGTCAGGGGGAGGGGGAGGGGGAGGAAGGTGACCAAAGCGCGGTCGAAAAGAAACGTCTTCAGCTGAGACCTGAAAATAGGAAGAGAGGGAGCGAAGCGAAGGGAGTGAGGAAGGGAGTTCCAGAGCCTCGGGGTGTCGTGGCTGAAGGCACGGCCACTGAGGGTGGAGCGGAGGACTCAGGGGACGAGGAGAAAGCCAGACCCGGTGGAACTTTCCATTAAATTGGCCTTTCTTTTGAAGCTCTAACCTTGTGCTGAAACCGCAAGCAAAATAAAGATTTCCCCATTATTGAAAAACAGCCATTCGCTTGATTTAAATCCTGGTAGCAGCCTGAACAATCCTGCACAATCTTGGAATTAGCACAAACACCACACAATTTATTCTCGCATTTGGAGAAAAAATTCAATACTAAATTGGTTAAAATTTAGCGATGATTACAGTCTAGAAATCCAATATGTGAACTATTTGGAGCGTAAATTCAATTTCATGCAGGAATTATAAGAGAGTCACACAACATAGTTTGTGCTCATTCAAAGTGAACGTTTAGTAAAATGTCAGCAGGAGGGGTGGAAAGCCAGCAAGCAATACAACTCCAGGCTGCTCACTCACATTGCTCTATTGCTTCAATACAGTCTCTATGGTAATAATAATAGTACTTGCATTTGATATAGCGTCTTATCACGTCTTCGAGACGTCTCAAAGTGCTTCGCAGAATATACTGTAAAGTGAATTGACTATATTTTGTGGGTGAAACACGGCAGCCAATTGCGCACAGCAATGTCCCACAAACAGTCATGGATTGAGTGACCAAATTATAATAATTATTTTATGAAGGGATTATTGGCGATCCACCAACCAACAAACAGTCATGGATTGAGTGACAAAATGTTTTAAATTTATCTTGAAGGAATTATACAATAATAAATAATCTTTGCATTTGATATCGCGCTTTTCACGTCTTCTAGATGTCTCAAAGCGCTTCACAGTGACTGTGAATGCCACATGCAAATATTTTATTATTATTATGATAAAGTGGATTGACTGTATATTTGTGGGCGAAATGCTTTATTATCCCTGGAAATGTGAGCTGCCAATTGGCTAACAACCGGGTTCCTACTTACAGCTCGGTACACAGAGTTGTGTGAAGTAAGCAAACTTGACCAACATTTCGCTCTGCCGGGAATCGAACCCAGATCCTCTTGCTTGTGAGGCGAATGCTCTAGCCACTAAGCTACAGGACTCTAAGTATTACTGTATACTAGGTCAAATAATGAGTGTTCAGAGACTTTCAATAGAAAATCGTGGGTGCTTCTCAACTACGGTGTTTGAAATAAAATTGACAGAGCTATCAGCAGTTAATTACCTTGTAGAAATGTATTGCGGTACATGTCATTCTGTAGTTTAGATCACTATAACTTGATTCAAAATAAACACACCCTCTGCAATCTGTCTCAGGGTGAAGAGGTCATACCCTATGCCTGCCAAAATATGCTCTGCAGCCAGATGCCAGAGAGAGACAGGAAACCATACTCTGCAATTAAATACAGAAGTCAGTGTCAGAGAAAGACATTGTATTGTTGGCTTCTTATGGACTTGATAATTATTTGACATTGCATCTTTAAACACAGCTGATAAATTCCACAGTCCACTGTGAAAGTCACAATTAAAATCAATGCAAAATGTTGCTCTAGATTTAGTCATTTCTCACCACCCCCACCACCAGAAAGAGAAGGGAGTCCTCCTGTGTCCTGGCCAACAGTCTCCCAAATAAAATTGGTCATTCACTTTCTGCAGGATATTGCTGTGTAAAAATTGGCTGCTATGTTTGGATACACAGTCACTTCACAGTAAAATCTGGTGTAGTCTCTTGACGACATGGTAAAGTGCTATATCAAATGCAGGGATTATTATTATTGATAAAATCACTGGATTTTAATATGATCAATGATTTGTAATCTGAGCTAAAGCTCATTAATGATGAAAGGCAACTCATGTGTCTCCTGGGATATTTGTAATACGTAGACATTAAATTTGCACTTTTGTTAATCTTGAAGTTTTGTTTTACAAATCCTTTTGCTTCTTTCAAGAACAACTGCTGGGGGAAAACAAAGGAGGTTTTGAATACGGCAAATCAAAAAACATCACATTACAACACAACACAAAAGCAATACAGATTTATATAGTGCCTTTCACATTAGGAGTACATCCCAAGATGTTTAACATGGGCACTCAAGCTGGGAGCCAAATGAGGTTGTGAAATGTAAGTGTGGTCAAAGTGGTAGGTCTTGAGATGTCCTCCAGTGTGTCTATACATTGATATGTAGACACGTTAGAGGGTCGCACTTTCAAGGCATTAGCTGAAATCCTCAACATTCCTGTAGATAAGTCATCAAGGATTTGCCTTGTTTTTACTTCGAAATGTGAGAGAATGCATATTATGAGGAGTTTCGAATCCAAAGCCGATAATCACATTACAGGCATTTCCAATAAGAAAGGAATCTTTCTTCACATCGAAAACATGATTTGTTCTTTGATAAAGACATCAGGCAATGGTTACAGCAATTTCAGTAGTATCTTCATGTCAACTACTAATGTGTTGTCTCGTGCGTGCGTTAAGCTTCAGTGCAGGAGTGCAAGGCTGGCCCAAACAAAAGTGTACTTAGTCATGCATGTGCAAATCCCAGGTACTCATTTTAGCCTCGCAGAGCAACTATGATCTGACAACGTGAGATAAGTCTATTTACTAAGCAATTTTTACAGCTACAAAATGGGGTTATAAAGAGGGAGGAATATGATTAATAAATAATCTTTGCCTTTAATATAGTACCTTACATATCAGGAGGATGTCTCAAAACACTTCACAGGATTCACTGTAAAGTGTAGGCAAACCTGGTAGCCAATTTGTGCACAGCAAGTACCCACAAATGGAATAACCAGTTTTATTTTGGGGAATGTTGGCCAGAATACTGAAAGAAACTACCCTCTGTTTTCGAAAATACCATGAGATCCTTAACCCTACCTGAACTGGCAAATTGGACTTCAGTTTGATATCTTCTCCGAACGATGGCACCTCTAAACAATGCAGCACACCTCAGCACTACATTGGAGTGTCAGCCTAGATAAAATGAGTTCTGAGTCCTGACATGGGGCTTGAACCCAATCTTCTGAGGTGAATGTGCTACCAACTAAGTCAAGTTTTCACTAAAATATCATATCTTAGAGCTTCCAAAATTCAGCAAATCTTCAGTGCAGTCTTAATTTTGAAGACCCTATGGAGTCCTGTAGCATATTGGTTAGCAAACTAGCCTCGCAAGCGAGAAGACCCCGGTTCGATTCCTGGGTGATGTGAAACCTTAGGCAAGTTTCCTTACTCCACACCTGTGTTTACCTAGTAGTAAGTAAGAACACGGTTTTTAGACCCTTGACGGATCGCTTTTCTGGGGATAATAATTCCTTAAAAAAGAGTTTTTTCTTAAATAATAAAAATAATTTGGTCAATCAATCTATGACTGTTTGTGGGACACTACTGTACGCAATTGGCTGCCACGTTTCACCCACAAAATATAGAGTCAATTCACTTTACAGTATATTCTGTGAAAAGCTTTGAAACTTCTCAATAACAGGATAAGGCCCTATAAAGGGCAACTATATACAAGGATAATTATTATAAGTCTATTTTCGAAATTCTTTAAAGATTCTTTACATAGAGTCATACTGCATGCAAAGTATTCAATAATAACAATGGTTGCAACCGCTGATCGGCGGCACATTTCTGCTTTTAACTCTCATTCAAGTGTACATTCCAGGCATTAATCTAACATTACATGTGTAAAGGTAAATAATTTAATGGAGTAGTTTTTCTCTTGTGGATAACAATAATAATCCATACTTTTAGCAGAGCATGCGTGAGTTCACACTTCACAGGAATATATCTATGCTTGGTTATATCAGGTCCAAATCCACTGACGACATGCATCAGCCAAATCCACGGCTGATTGAAGTCAACAGACTGTGTATTTGTAGGCAAACACGGCAGCCAGATTTGCACGCAGCAATGTCCCATGAACAGCCATGAAGTGAATGACCAGTTTTATTTGGGGAATTGTGTATATATACTCTAATAATGGAAATAAGAACCATAGACTGCTGGAATACTGGGTAAATCGGACTTGCCCTTGGTTTTCTCTTGCAGGTTGTTATATTGTACTTTGAGCCAAGCATATTCAGATGTATTCTTTTACGATGGGTTCGTCTTCTGGGCTTTGCTACAGTATATGGAACCGTGACTCTCAAGTTGTACAGGTACAATCTCTACTCTACCTCACACCATTATTTACTGCAACCAAACTAGGTCATTTCCTGCTCTTGATTAAATAATTCTTACATTTGATTTACTACCTTTCACAACGTGAGGGTGTCTCAAAGCGCTTCATGGGATATACTGTAAAAAGTAGTGACTATGTATTTTGTAGGCAAATGCAGCAGCCAATTTCCCCATAGCAGTGCCCTGCAAACAGCTATGAAGTGACCCATTTTATTTGGCGGTTTGTTGGCCCAGGGGATCTTTAACCTCCAACTGAACAGGCAGACAAGTGATTGGTTTAACATCTCAACTGAAGGTTGGCACCTCCGACAAATCAGTGTTTCTCAGTACTACATTGGAGTACCAGCCAGCACTATGAGTTCCAAGTCCCAGAGGCGAGAATGCTATCAATTGAGTCAGACAGTTGACACAATTGATTGACAAGACTACAGGGTGAAACATGTGAACATGTTTTATAACTGATTCAGTGTGATAATGATCAAATTGAATCATCACTAATTGAATCGTCACATTTTAACATCCTTTTTCCTAAAATCTGACCATGGACTGAATACTCGTTGACTTGGGTATTATGGTTGATTCAGAAACTTTCAGCCACTCGGCAGAGCCTGACTCCCTTTGTCGATCCTGGAGTCTGGGTTTGAGTGTTGCTGTACATTGTACCAATTGAGTTAAGTTGGTATCTTCTCTTAGATGCACTCAAATTCCGAACTCTATAACAGGGTGGAGAATTCTTTTGGCCCAGCCATGCTGAGGCAGGGACTTTTGGTAGGCATCCCCCTACCAACCATTATAAAGACATGCCTATTTGTAGTGATTGGCATATGATCAATCAACCCCAATATCCTTTGCCTTTCCCTAGCTCCAACAGTGCCATCACCATTATTTCTCACAGACCATTTGCCCATTTCCCAGTCAGCCTCTCCTGTAACTTCGAAAATCATTCGCAAACAGCCATTGCCCCTCTTTTTTTCTGCAGGGGCTATTCATCTACTTTTGCTGAATCGGTTTCACATGTCCATTGTATGAGAAAGGTTTCTTCTAATCTCTTGTCTTTCTCAGGGCTTATATTAAAAAAAATTAAATCTGTGTCCCATATTCACAGGTTAAATTATTACATCTCAATCATTTGTGCTTCTTAGTACTTTAAAGAGATAGATCATCGTTAATTAAGATTGGTATTGGATTCATTTACACGGCGAATGAACTGAGGCAGAAGGATTGACTTTTTTACCAGTGGTAGAATTTCAGTGTATCTAAACTAACTACTTCAACAACAATCACTTGCATTTATATAGCTCCCCTCAAGCAGGGTAGCATACCAGAGCGCGTGACAGTGACAGAGCACAACGCAGTGTTGGAAGGAGGGGGGAGAACTAGAAGGGGTCCATAACATTAATAGGAATGATGTGTTGATTCTGCTCTCTCTGATGCTGCAGGGTTTTGAAGGTTTTCCTATCCCGGACTGCGCAACGAATCCCATACATGACAAGCTGGAGGGTGGTGAGGATGCTGGGAATCATTCTACTCATAGTGTGCTGGTTCCTAATCTCGTGGACGTCTGCAGTCTGTGAGAACTTGGACAGAAATGTTCCACTGATTGCCCAGGGATGGACTGTGGATGGACTTCAGTTTAATATGTGCCTGTTGGACCGTTGGGACTACATGATGGCCATTGGTAGGTGTGACTTGCCTGAATATTACCTGTGGAAAATGTTATCTTGTACTTTCTGTTTCCTTCTGTTAGGGATGTACATTTAATAGAGGGAGAGATATTAATGCTGGCCAAGTATATAATAGTGATAACCCTTGCCTTTGATATAGTGCCTTATCACATCATTGCAACATCTCAAAGCGCTTCACAGGAATTCCTATAAAGTGCAGTGACTGTGTATTTGTCTATTGCTTTTTTCCCCAATACTCTGGTTAGCATCCATGCCTCTGTCCTCTTGACCTCTCAACCAAAATATGTGCGTTATATCTATGCCTTCAAAACAAATCTTGTCCAATATCCTTAAATCTTCATTTTGTCTGTTGAGTGCTCACTATTAAATCTATCAAGGTGCTGATAGATTACATTACATCTATCACATCTCTTAAGGCGTTTTGAAAGAGCCTACTTAAAAATGCACGTTCACCACACTTTGCAGTATATTCTGTGAAGTGCTTCAAGATGTCCTGATGTGAAAGGCACAATATCATAATCAAAAGATTTGATTATTATTAATAATAATCTTTACGTTTGGTATAGTGCCTTATGATGCCGTAAGGGGTCTCAAAGCGCTTCACAGGATTGTATTTGTAGGCAAACACGGCAGCACAATTGCATACAGCAATGTCCCACAAACAACCATGGAGTAAGTGAACAATTTTATTTGGGAGATTGTTGGCCAGGACTCTGGGAAGGAGAAACTCCCTTCTCTTTTCGAATAATGCCATGGGATCTTTAACAGGTCCCAGTTATTTAATGTGAACAGGCAGAAGGGACCTTGGTTTAATGTCTCATCTGAAGGACGGCACCTCCAACGAAGCTCTGCGTTAGAATGTCTTTTTAGAATATGAGAATTCAAGTCCCGATGTAGGATTTGAACCCATAAGCTTCTGACTCAGAGGCGAGAGCACTACCACTGAGCCAAGCTGACATACTTGGTATTATTGAGGTCTTTAAGTACAAATGAAAGTTTTTGCTATCTCTTAGGGTCTCTTTTCAAGTTAACCATGTGACTCTAACATCACGTTGATTATGTTTGTCTGCCCTCAAAGCACACAGCCACTGTACTTTATAACGTATCTGAGAAGTGCTTTGGAATAACCTCCTGACGTAAATGACACTATACCAAATGTAAGGATTATTAATATGGTTAAGAGGTCACTTTGTGACGCTTCCTCAGATCGTCCTCTACCACTGGAAGGTTATCGTGCTGATTCAGCCTGTACCTGCTGGGTTCAATCTGTTTCCTGACTTTGAAGCTCCTCTATTGTGCAGTGAGTTTCCACACTCCACGAGTGGGTTGCTGTTATTTAATGCGTTGAAACACATGTTAGTGGAGTTATTAAGCTGGTTGATTAGTGTGGAAAGTGATTGATTGCTGGAGTTTCCTCATCAGCTTCTAGCGTGGACTAATAACCTTATCGTAGCCTTATTGTAGCAGAGGAAATAAAGCTCCTCTCGGAGAGGAGGAGAAGAGAGAAATTTGACAGGAAATTGCTGTGAACCTCATTTTCACGGAGCTCCTATTCTAAGCTTTGTGTAGGTGTCAAGCTTCTCGTTTTGTTTCTGTAAAAGGAAAAATGCTGAATACTTTCAAAGTTTACATGAGGCATCATGGAGACTGGCACTGTCAGCCCCAATTGAAAACAGCTCTGTCCTGTACATGTGGGAGTCGGTCTAAGATTGAGCGTTTATTATTTGGCCTTAGCAGCACACTGACCTCTCAGCTCACCCATGTATAATTCATCCTGAGTGGTTCTTGAACGCACCTTACATTTTACACAGTAACAAAATCAAATGCAGAAGATTACTTCTAAAACAAAGTTGCCTGATACAAAAATTGAGTGAAATCACTCACATGTGGATTCAGGCAGAACAGGGAACACCTCGTTTTACTGTGAATTATCTTGAGGCGCTGCAAGGCCACGATATTCATACAAAGGCTATTAGCGTTAAGAGTAGCTCATGCTATATTTATATCACAGCAGCACAGCAATGCTGTTGTCTGCCCCCAGGACTCATTGGAATGATTTTAAATTGCATTTTATAAAGTAAACCCAAGGACAATACTCTTGGATGCAATGAATCGGCAGAACAAGAGGACGCAGGTTTAAAGTTGCAAAGGGCAATTTCAGTACAGGCACCAGGAAGGTTTTCTTCACTTGGAAAGTAATTAATGATTGAAACCAGTTGCCAGGAAGGGTGGTTGAAGCCAGAACCCTGGACTCTTTTTAAAAAAAAGTTTGATGTTGTGATGGGAGGAAGTCAGGGTGGGTATTGCAGAACAGGCTGGTCCAATTGTCCAGTTTCTCCTTACAGTTTGCTGCTACCCCCAATGGTTGATATAAGCTTGCTGGACAGCAATATCAATGGCAAGCTATACAGTTTTAACTGGTCAGACTCCAGCAGTACCCCAATGCACACTCTGGGGTCACCAAGCCTTGGCTCTTGCCAACCTGCACCTAATACCATCCAGAATTAGCTAAGCAGGGTGCGTCCCTCCGGGTAGAGAGTGTGCATTTCATTCCAACAACTTACCTCTGGAATTTCCATGTGTAGGTGGAATTCATGGTAATGTCATCTTGGTTTGGATACTCTTAAGCATAGTGATGGGTTTCTGCAAGTGTCAGACACCCATCTGACCAAAAAAAAATTGGTATAAGACTTGCTGTAAGAATTGATATAATCTTCTGTCAATAGTGACAAGGTGACAGTCAGCCCCCGGCACCAATCTCACAGCAATTGGATTTTGCAGGAAACCAATCTTATCAAACCGAGCTACCAGACTGCACAATATTACTGATATTGTTTTTAAAATAAATAGCAAGTAAAATTGGTTTTAAATAGGCTTGAGAATTTTCAGCTCCAACTTGAAGATAATTTTAACAAAATAGTTGTTTCCCGTTTCTAAAATCCGTAAACATTTTTTTTAAAAAAAGGACAGAAGCAAACAAAAAGCTTCAGGCTGCATCGGGAAGGTGATAGGATGGCTGTTCGGAAAAGATTAGATCAAATGATACCATAGAACCAGTCCTGTAGCTCAGTAGTTAGAGCACTCGCCTCGCAAGCGAGAAGCCTGGGTTTGATTCCCGGCAGGGCAAAACGTTGGGCAAGTTTCCTTACTCCACACGCCTCTGTTTACCTAGCAGTAAGTAAGAACCCGATTGTTAGTCGATTGGCAAATTGCTTTTCCGGGGGTAATAATTCCTTCGAAAGAATAAAATAATAATAAATTGGTCAATCAATCCACGACTGTTTGGCTGCCGCGTTTCGCCCACAAAATATGCAAATTCACTTTACAATGTGAAGAGCTTTGAAATGTCTCGAAAACGTGATAAGGCGCTATACCAAATGCAAGGATTATTATTATTATTATAAAGTATTAAGCGGCTGCATCTTTCTCGCCGTTTCCATGGATTTTATTAGTGGGGTCGCTGTACTCCAGCAATACCGATAAAACCCATCCAAACAAAAGGCAGCATTTGCAGTGATCGACTGGAAAGGGATAACTTAGAAGGCTGAGAGGCAGATGTGTTTTGCTTTGAAGAATAGACCATTTCCTGGTTAGCTGGAAGGCAGCTCATGTCCTAATGGATAACAGTGCGAGTTTTCAAAACTGAGGCTCAATTAATTTTGACAGTTAGTGCTTGGTTTATAGATGAACCAGCAACAAGCGTAAAAGGACAATTTTGTCAGATAAAGCTATTATAGGTTATAACATGAATAAAGGTGCAGAGCAGAGAGGAATAAATTGCCTCAGGAAAAGTTGCTTCTCTATTTATATCCTTCATTAGAGGTTCCTGTTGACATCCAGGCTCGAGCTCCAGAACAGTGTTTGGTGAAAGCAGAAGATTAGATTGATATTCTGTTGCATTATTTTTCCACTTTGATTCAGATTTCGAAAGCGCTATGCTGACAGCTAAAACTGTCCTTCTGTCTAAACTAATTTGGGGGAGATTGCTTTGTACCAAACGTCAGTTTACAGACACACCCCCTCACTGCATTTTTACAGCTAATGTACCATAAAACCTCACCAAAAGATGCTGGATTGAAGAGCCATGAGGCTCTTTAGGATAGGCTTCAACATTTTAATGTGGGTGTATTATGTCAGGAGAGGAAGCATAATCGTCAGTGAGGTGGAAATATAATTATATAAGAAAATGATAGTGGGTTAGACTTCGGGCTGAGTTTTGAATTCAGCCCAGACTGATGGGATGAAAACTTTTAGTCTGCCGTAGTTTACAAAGGAACACTGACCTCTTCAGAACAAAGATAAATGTAAATGGTTCAAAGGGTTGAAGCCCCTACCAAGTGCTGTGAAGGCAGATGTTTGTTACTGACATATTGGGTGAATTACTGTTATTTCCACATCATCAGGTTGCCACTGTTGTAATTTCCAGCGCCCTACTCACGTGCAAGAAATGCCACTAATATTGTTTTGTTAGTGAAGTGATGCCAGCAGTGCTTCTTCCACATACCACAAATGGGGGCAATGCACAAGTCATATTTTTAGCCAACTAGTCACAGAGGCCAGGTATGCCATGCTTTCTGTTAGCATGTATCCACAGGTGACCCACACTATAAGCGAAGCAACACTATATTGAAGGTCACTCTAACAAGGTTTCCCAGTACATGGTTGAGAATGTAGAGGGAGAACCTCAATCTTCTGGGCCTAAATTTATTGTATTCTCTCCGAGTTTCAGAGCATACAGAATTTTACACATTCTTAAATACGGCCTTAATTTTGATGCTCTTTCTCTGTAAGTTTCTTATAAGTACCTCAGTACAGAATTCAACAACTTAATAAATTCTGCCCGCTTCGAAATGCTGTCAAAAATCAAGTGCATCTAGACTTCACTTGAATTTCTACCCTGTAATTTGTAAGGAAATGTACCACACAAAATAGGATAACTTCCCTTTAGAAGGATATTTTAGGACGGGTGATTCACGAAGCTCCGAGTCATCCATTCCTTCTGTGCTTTTTCTTCCGCAGCTGAATTTCTCTTCCTCCTCTGGGGGGTATATCTCTGCTATGCCGTGCGGACAGTGCCATCAGCATTTCATGAACCACGCTACATGGCTGTCGCTGTCCATAATGAACTCATTCTATCTGCTGTATTCCATACCATCAGGTAAGAATTCTGCTGGCTTTTCCACCTGACCACTGTGAGAGTCAATTGGCCTTTTCCTTTTGTCCGATGAGGTGTCATCCTGGCTCCGTTGGTAACATCTCTCACCTCTGGGTCAGAAGGTTGTGGGTTCAAGCCCCACTTTGAGACTTTGAACTCATTTAGTCTAAGCTGACACTCCATTGTTCTTTGGATGAGACATTATGTGGAGTCCTGTAGCTCAGTGGTTAGAGCATTCGCTTTACGTGAGAGATCTGAGTTCAATTCCAGGCAGGTCAGGGCGAAACCTTGGGCAAGTTTCCTTACTCCACACAGAGCCTAATAATAATCCCTCCAAAACCAAAAACAATAATAAATTGGTCATTTTCAATCTACGACTGTTTGTGGGACATTGCTGTGTGCCATTGGCTGCCGCGTTTGCCCACAAATATACAGTCAATTCACTTTAAAGTATATTCTGTGAAGCGCTTTGGGACGTCCTCCCGACGTGAAAAGCGCTATATCAAATGCAAGGATTATTATTATTATTATTAAATCGAGGTCCCATCTGCCTGTTGAAGTGGACGTTAATAATTCCATGGCAGTATTTGAAAAGAAAAGGGAGTTTCTTCTGGTTTTCTGGCCAACAATGTCCCAGAAAAAAATGATCATTCATTTCATCGTGGTCTATGGGGCTTTGCTGCATGCAAATTGGCTATTACATTCACCTACAAAACACACAGGCACTGCACTTTACAGTACATCATGTGAATCACTTTGGAAACTTCTCCCGACTTGTATGGCTCTACATAAAATGCAAGGATCATTATTATAGCACCTTTTGTGTTGGGAGGATCTCTCAAAGCACTTCACAGGTTATATTGTAAAGTGTAGTGATTGCCCGTTTCATAGGTAAACACAGCTACAAATACAAAGTCATTACACTTCACACAATCTTTGTCAATCACTTTGAGACATTCTCAACAACATTGGCACCATTTCAATTATTGTCTAGTGTAAATGTAACTTAGCACTTCCGACTGCAACAATTTATATTGTTTTCCTGCTCCCACAGAGGTAACCCTAAGACCTCTTTCAAGACTGTCAAATTCAGTCCTAAAGTAGGAACGTTATTAAAGTATGAACCCATGTCAACTCGAACAGTTACACATGTGCGTAGGATGCGTAAGGTTGAGACTGCCCCAAATCACTGGAACAAGGGATATTCAGCTCACACATTTCTCCAATCACCCACGTTCTCCCACATCACAAGATTACTTTGAATGAAGAAGGCTCTTAGTTCCATCCGATCTCATCCTTCCAGAACACCCACTCTACCATCCCCCATCACAACATGAAGCAGCTTTTTAAATGAGTTGACAATCTGTTTGAGTTGTTGATTAGCCTCTGCATAAAGAGACTTTGAACTCATTTAGTCTAAGCTGACACTCCATGTTTGAGTCATTGATTAGCCTCTGCTTAAAGAAAAGCTTCCTGATATCTGTCCTGAAATTGCCCTTTACAATTCTAAACCTATGTCTTCTTATTATCGTACTCACTTGAATTCTGAAGTATTGATCTGGGGTTACTTTTTCATTTTAAATGTTATACACCGGCATAGTTGCCATCTTCTTGGATAGGAAACAATAACAACAAATTACATTTTTCTAGCGCCTTTCTCATTGGAAGGACGTCCCAAGGCCCTTGAAACACATTACTGAAATCCATTGAGGTTCAGGGAGAAGGGGCAGTCCAAACTCAGCAGAGAGCTAGAAAATGTTACATTGTCAATACAAAAATGGTGAGCGTTTTGTTGGCAAACCACAGATACAGACCAACTCACATTGTGCTCGGGTTGAATGGCTCGGATACAGTATGTCATTCAGCCTGCCAACTGCATGCTCCCCGAGTTCACCTCTCTGGAGTACATTTTAATGAGATCAATCCTGCCTCAAAGTGACAGCACTACCAATTTGTGCAAAATCAATCACATATGCTGTTTTTACAAAGGAGAATGGCAGTATTTTGACTCAGCCAATCTAGCTGTTGGTGGTAGGGTGATGATGGTCGGTCTCTTTACCCTTGAGTTAGGGATAGTGAACATGTCCAGCACAATGTAAAGGTTGAGGACAGGATTGGACTTTGCTGTGGTGTCGCCTGGTGATGATCAGGCGGCCAACATTCCCCTGTCGCTGCTCAAACATGAATAGTGACTACTGTTCTTTTGGTTAGCCAAGAGTCTGATACATGCAGAAACCCATCACTATGCTTTAGAATATCCAAACCAGACACACTTGCATGCCACGTATGCATGCAAATGTCCCTGTGTCTGGAACAGAATGCGCACTGTCTCCTTGGAGAGATGCACCCTGCTTTTGGAGAATATTAGGATCTGGCCAAGGCTTGAGGACACCATACTGTGCGCAGTGAGAGTGAGATCCATTGAGTGAGAGTGGAGTCCTGTAGCTCAGTGGTTAGAGCACTCGCTTTGCAAGTGAGAGACCTGAGTTCAATTCCAGGCAGAGGGCGAAACCTTGGGCAAGTTTCCTTACTCCACACAGAGCCTAATAATAATAATTCCTCCAAAACCAAAACCAATAATAAATTGGTCATTTTCAATCTACGACTGTTTGTGGGACATTGCTGTGCGCAATTGGCTGCCGGGTTCGCCCACAAATATACAGTCAATTCACTTTACAGTATGTTCTGTGAAGCGCTTTGGGATGCCCTCCCAACGTGAAAAGCGCTATACCAAATGCAAGGATTATTATTATTATTATTGTAACGATTATAACTGGGTATATAAGTGGAAAACAGTTGTGAAACCATCATTGATGGTAAGGGACGAAAATAAGCAATTTATTTTGTAAAAATCCCACATTGACTGTTTACTACCATTGACTGAGTAATGGGGCACAGAGTGCTTTAAATGACTGATTGCATTTCTAATTGAATTTCAAACAAAATATTATTTTTCCATTTCTTTGGAATATTGAGTGAATTAGTAAACACATAGTAAAAGTTGTACTTTCCTTAATATTTAAATAGTGATGTAACAGTTAATGTAAATCATAACATTCTTTATGATAATTTGCTTGTCCCTTGTGCCCTCCTTTCCACCATCAGCAGCCAGACTTTCAGCCACTAGACCACAAAACTCTGGGACTCTCAATCCCTCTGCCTTGCCCCCTCCTTCCCCATCTTTAGGTTGCGCCTGAAAACCTTCATCTTCTACTGTGCCTATGGTCACCTCCCCCCAGCTCAGTGTTGAGCTCCGTTACTGTCAAGTGTGCTGGGACGCTACCTTGTGTGAGGAGCGTTATATAAATGCAAGTTGTTGTTGAATATGTTTATCCTTACATTTGAAGTAACACCTTATCACACTGTCGAAGCACTTCACGGGATTTTTATTGCGAAGTGTAGTGTCGAATATGGTTGCCAAGTTGCACACAACACTGTCTCACAAACAGCCATGACATGAATGATGAATTTTATCTGGAGAATTGTTATTACCCAGAGGATGATGATATTAGTGTCCATATTTATGAATTATTTAAGCTGTACTATTTAGGAATCTGCATATACCAAGGCTTATTGCAATGCTTTGTTTTGCCCTATTTCATTCATTTTCCGTAGTCCTGTAGCTCAGTGGTTAGAGCACTCGCCTCGCAAGCGAGAGACCTGGATTCGATTCCCGGCAGGGCAAAACCTTGGGCAAGTTTCTTTCCTCCACACGCCTGATAATAATCCCTCAAGAAAAAAANGCAATAATTAAATTGGTCACTTCAATCCACGACTGTTTGTGGGACACTGCTGTGCCCAATTGGCTGCTGCGTTTCGCCCACAAATATACTGTCAATTCATTTTACAGTCTATTCTGTGACGCGCTTTGAGACGCCTAGAAGACGTGAAAAGTGCTGTATCAAATGTAAGGATTATTATTATTATCTCCTGCAGATCAGCTATTCAGCTCTTCATTCCTCAGCTTCTGACTGTTCCTGTCTATCTTGCGCCGGTTCCCACTGTCACCTCCAATCCCGCCCACTGATCAAGAATGATCAAGATCAAGCTCCACCTTAGGCTTCCCCATTACCAAGGAGACCAGCGCAGCCCAGTCAGTGGCCACTTAGCTGGTAGCCAAACATCCTGGCTCCACTCCATTCATGCTCATAAAGAGGCCCTGAACTGTCAGCTGGCCTCAATGAGTGAGAGTAGCCATGCTGGTGCAAAGCCAGCCAAAGCATACCTTGACCCTGCTTTCCCCTGCTGTGAGCACAACAGTACCATGCAATCAAATGTACCTTTCCACCCACTGTAGTTTCAGTCAAATAAAGTCACGAGATTGGATGTACTGATCACTACATTTGATTATAATGCCTTTCACATCAGGAAGATGTCCCAAAGCGCTTCACAGGATATATGGTAAAGTGGAGTGACTTTGTGTTTTTGTTGGCAAATACATCAGCAGTTTATCATCAGTTTAACTTTAACTATTCAAATGATATTTTGAATAAAAGCTGGGATATGTTATTTATACATTTGCCTACCAAACTCTAGTCACTACACGTGACAGGAAATCCTGTGAAGCACTTTGACACGACCTCCTGACATGAAAGCTCTGTATGAAATGCAAGAATGATTATTACAAGTAATATTATTCATCTCTGTTTTGCTTTGCTAACCGTTTATAAACAAATATATTTTTGTCCTTCGCTGTCTAATTTTATGATTCAGTAATATATTTTCCATACATTAGTGTGTTTCCAAGAGTAAATTTGCAGACAAACTTAATTTCATGGCAGAGTGTTTTTATTTGCTTACATACTGATATTTTTCATTTAATGGGATAAATCCTTACGAGATTAAAAAGTGATAGGTTTGATATGTACTTTGAGCACACTAAGGTAATATAATTAATGTACAGCTTGGTCATTCATACTGTGATTTCAAATAATCCATCTCTGCATTTGATATAGTGCCTTTCACATCGGGAGGATTTCTCAAAATGCTTCACAGGATTTTAC